TAAATTAATGGTGACATAAATTAAAAATTTATTTATTTAAAATGTAGTTTTAGCGATGATTATTTGAATACATATAAAGTAACGACTTTTAATAGCAAGTCTGTCTAATTGCTATAACTACTTATTTTAGAGAATAATAATTCTGATTCAATTATTGCAAATAATGCTGACAAAAAAAGAAAAGAAAATAATACTAAAATATAGAATTAAAATATAAAGTCAGGCAAGAATAAATAAAGCAAATAGGCATTATGATGAACAGCAATAAAAATTTTAAGAAATGTTAAAATATAATATTCATGTTTAAATCTAGCATTACTATATAAAACAAAATAAATAAAAATCTGAGCAACAACATGTGTGGGCGAGAAATAAAGAGCATTTGCGAGAAGGAAAATTATATTATACAATCGTTGACACTGTGAAAGCAAAATTTTACTGAGAAAACTCATGATACTAGGCAATTCTGTAAACTAGCACAAGTATTTTTTCGGGAAAACTCATGGTGCTAAATAGTTGTGGAAATTTTGAAGATAAAATATGAGTAACTAAAACAAATAATAGTGAAAAAAAAATTTCTTTTCAAGAATATACACTATGTTGTACAGTTGCAAACATTAAATTTGAAAATAATAATATATATATATATATGTACATTTAGCACTGTCAGCAATGTGAAGAAAATATAACATTATTAATAAAATCTGGAAATACTATACAAAATAAAAATCTGGATGCTGAGAGATAAGAAGCACTTGCTAAAGGGAAGGGAAAATTAAAATGTAGGTATATGCATGTATATGTATGTATGTATATGTATGCATATGCATGTTTAGACTTTTGTATATATATATATATATAGATAGATAGATAGATAGATATATTTGGTGGCATTATTAATTATAAATTTAAAATTACGAAAATTATACTGTGATTTTTGAATTCTTTTCATTAATAGCTGCAATTACAATGTACTGTGGGTTTCTTATAGGAAGTGATCTTGTAAAACGAGGATCAATAATTTCTGGCAGCAGGCAGTCGAAATAGAAATTCTTTAATTTTTGTTCCATTTTATTTTCCCAAAACTCGTCATCTCGTTTTATGTTTTCTATTTTGATCCCTTTGGGTGTCCATAAAACAAAAAGGCAAAAACTTTTTCTAGTAATGTGTAATTGTCCTTGGACTTGATAATAGAAAATGTGGTTTGTATTGATTCCAAGGATATTTTTTTTAGTTTTATCTACCTTCCAAAATGTTACTTTTCGTGATAAAATTCCTTCGTCAGGAGTGATATCGTAACATTTGGCCGGGCATTTTACTTCGATTATACCATCGTTACCTACTAAACCATCCGGCGAAGCAGCTAAAAATGGTAAGTCCTTATCAATGAAGAGACCGCATGGGGAGACATTGTGGTTCAGATTTTGCAAAGCATTTATTGCATCAACTTCATGTCTCTTCCCATACCTCATTGCTTCAGTGCTGAGATCGAAATAAAGAAGCTTCTTTATGATGGTGTCGCATTTCGTTGTGGGGAGTTTATTACAAACGACACCAAAATTAGAAGCTGTGAGGCGCTTCTTTCTCTCAAGCATCCATCGCGCAGAATTTTGTTGACCACGAGTGTCTTTCTCGATTTCTAGTATGCCTAGTTCGTCGATGTTTATTTCAGCCAAGAATTTGTCTTTTTTATATGAGTAATCTTCATCATTCAAATCCGGTCTCTCTGCATAGACGCCGTATGCCGCATCACCTGTTGTTTTATGAAATAGGCGCTTTCGACCTAGTAATTTTCGGCGAGCTTCTGTCTGCTGTCTCTTACGCACTCTGCGTTCTTCGGATCTTTTTGAATGAACTCCTGGGCTTCTCTGAAACATTTGTTTATAGAGAGCCCGTAATGGAGTTTTACTGTTGTGAGAGACAACTGCAGTCTTAGCAGTTGACTAAGCAACAGTGCAGCAGTTTTGACTTTTGGATATGATCTTCAGTCGTTTACTGTAACTGTTCTTTCTAGTATGATACTTAGCTGCATTCGTTAGTCAATGCCTAACTGAAAGACAAAAACCGCAGTGAACAACATCAATAGCATTCTGGAATGTCCTTCAAGAAGAGCGAGGGGTTCAAAAAATGTTTTGTGTAAGTAGTAAAGTATTGTTGACAAGTATTCAGCAAAACTTCTTTGTTACCGACAACACTGAAAGGGTAAATGCGGTAATTTTAGAAAACTGGATAACAGACAAACCGCATTTCAGCAAAAGATCGTATCTACAATGAAACTTGTCAAAATAAAATAAAGGAAACAGGGTAACAAATTTCATCTGCCCATAGAATTTCACCTGCATTATTAGATATGGTTTTAGGTTGCTTGCCGAAACAGCATTTTCTGGTATTGCACTAGGCTACATTTATTAATCAATGCCAAGTTGAAAGCCTAAAGGCCCTTTCAACAAGCACTTCGCATTCTGGCTTTGTCTATGTGAAAAGTGAGAGGCTTAAAAAATGTTTTGTGTGAACGGTTTCTGTCATATATTCCGCAAATGTCTTTGCAAGTTGTAACAATGATCCAGGTGCATGATATGAAAGGGTAAATGTTGCATTTCACACTGACGTAAAGAGGCATCCAAGAAGATGATGTATATTTGGAACTTGCCAAAACTTATCGGTTTTCTCTGTTCATGTCTAAAAAGAAAAGAAACAGGGAAAACCGATTCTCTCTTGTTTCTTGTTATGGTTTCTTCATGCACATTAATGGATTTTTTTAATATTTTGTGTGTGCGTGTGCTTTGGGCCCTTGCCATACTAGATATTTTCCGATGTTACGAAAATTATACTGCGATTTTTGAATTTTTTCGATTCTCTCTTGTTTCTTGTTATGCTTTCTTCATGCACATTAATGGATTTTTTTTTGTGTGTGTGCCCTTGCCATACTAGATATTTTCCGATGAGGTTCATTAAATAAACGTATTAATGATGACAGATAATTATAGTATAAATATCTAACGTAACCCACACGTATTATTCATTTCAACGAAATAACTAATTTTCAACACGCCTTTAAATGTGTATTACTCCATTTGTAAAAAAAAGAGTATATTCATGAAAATTGAAGATAATTAAATCATCAATAAGTCTAAAAACAAATTTAATATTAAGAGTACAATTTCTTTTTTTTTCAGTGCAAAAAAAAATNAATTATACTGCGATTTTTGAATTCTTTTCATTAATAGCTGCAATTATGTACTGTGGGTTTCTTATAGGAAGTGATCTTGTAAAACGAGGATCAATAATTTCTGGCAGCATTACAGAAAATTCATTACAACAAAAGTAAAAATATAACGGAAAAATTTATTTATATCTGGTCGCACCGTGAAAAAAAACTTTTTTACAATTAAACATAAAGCATAACAGCTGTGAAAGTTTGCAACTATAAGAATAACATGTTAAACCTATTATTGCTTCTACTAAAATTAAGTTTTTTGGAAAATACATATGATGCTAAAAAATAAGAAAAACTGGTAAATATACAGTTAAAATATGAACTATAAATCAGTAAACACTGTGAACGCAACATTTCTTTAGAATACCATAATACTAAAAAATAATTAAAATTTGCAAATGTGGAAGTACTACAAGGATCATAAAATTTATTGACACAGTCAAGAAGTATCTTTTCGAATAAACACATAATGCTAAATAGTGGCAGAGATTTGAAAATGGGAAAATAAAACGTGAATAAAACAAATTATACAGGGAAAAAAATTTCCTTTTCAAAACATGACGCTGCACAGTAATAAAAATTAGATTTGAAAATACTAAAATAAAATATGTTCATTTAACTCTGTTAGCACTGTAAAGAAAATGAAACGCATTTTCAGAAAAACTCATTATTATTGAACAGTTAGGAAAATTTACGAAATGGGAAAATATAATATTCATATTTAAAACTAGCAATCTATATTTAGGAACATAAAAACCTGAGTAACATTATATGATGCTTAGAAATAGTTAGCATTTGCTAGTGAAGAAATTAAAATATAAATCACATATCAGTTATTATATCGGATATTATATCGGATAATTTAAAGAAATTGCCAATTAATAATTTTAGAAAATTGACTTTTATTTAAGAAAAAAATAAATAAAACAGAAAAGAGACAGAGAGGGAAATATAAATTGACTGTTATACACATAATTTTAGCCAAGGATTTGCCCGAAATGGATTTGCACATGGTAAAAATTGTATAAATTAACGAAGAAGTTTTTTAGTAAATTTATTCACAATAACATACAATTAACTTAATGTTTTTATATAGAATTTAATTACTTTATTTGAGTAACCATTGTTTTTTTTTTATATCAAATTTTGTCTATTTGTTTTTTGGATAACTAAACATTACTACATAATCTTTTAATTCTACACATTTGATTAAAAATGGTATTAAAATAGATATTTTTAAGAACATTAGAATTCCCAATTATTTATTTGCCTTAAAATAAAAATAATTTTAAAGCATAACAGCTGTGAAAGTTTGCAACCATAAGAATAACATGTTAAACCTATTATTGCTTCTACTAAAATAACGTTTTTTGGAAAATACATATGATGCTAAAAAATAAGAAAAACATGCAAATATGTAGTTAAAATATGAACTATAAATCAGTAAACACTGTGAATGCAACATTTCTTTAGAATACCATAATACTAAAAAATAATTAGAATTTGCAAATGTGGAATACTACAAGGATCATAAAATTTATTGACACAGTCAAGAAGTATCTTTTCGAATAAACACATAATGCTAAATAATGGCAGAGATTTGAAAATGGGAAAATAAAACGGGAATAAAACAAATTATACAGGGAAAAAAATTNAAATTACGAAAATTATACTGCGATTTTTGAATTCTTTTCATTAATAGCTGCAATTATGTACTGTGGGTTTCTTATAGGAAGTGATCTTGTAAAACGAGGATCAATTATTTCTGGCAGCAGGCAGTCGAAATAGAAATTCTTTAATTACGAAAATTAAATTAAATTTACGAAATGGGAAAATATAATATTCATATTTAAAACTAGCAATCTATATTTACGACCATAAAAACCTGAGTAACATTATATGATGCTCAGAAATAGTTAGCATTTGCTAGTGAAGAAATTAAAATACAAATCGCATATCGGTTATTATATCGGATAATTTAAAGAAATTGCCAGTTAATAATTTTAGAAAATTAACTTTTATTTAAGAAAAAAATAAATAAAACAGAAGAGAGAGAGAGAAGGAAATATGAATTGCCTGTTATGCACATAATTTCAGCCAAGGATTTGCCCGAAATGGATTTGCACACGGTAAAAATTGTACAAATTAACGAAGAAGTTTTTTAGTAAATTTAAATTTAAAATTACGAAAATTATACTGCAATTTTTGAATTCTTTTCATTAATAGCTGCAATTATGTACTGTGGGTTTCTTATAGGAAGTGATCTTGTAAAACGAGGATCAATAATTTCTGGCAGCATTACAGAAAATTAATTACAACAAAAGTAAAAATATAACGAATAACGATATCTGGTAAATATAACGATATCTGGTCGCACCGTGAAAAAAACCTTTTTTACAATTAAGCATAAAGCATAACAGCTGCGAAAGTTTGCAACTATAAGAATAACATGTTAAACCTATTATTGCTTCTACTAAAATTACGTTTTTTGGAAAATACATATGATGCTAAAAAATAAGAAAAACTGGCAAATACACAGTTAAAATATGAACTATAAATCAGTAAACACTGTGAACGCAACATTTCTTTAGAATACCATAATACTAAAAAGTAATTAAAATTTGCAAATGTGGAAGTACTACAAGGATCATAAAATTTATTGACACAGTCAAGAAGTATCTTTTTGTATAAACACATAATGCTAAATAGTGGCAGAGATTTGAAAATGGGAAAATAAAACAAATTATACAGGGAAAAAAATTTCCTTTTCAAAAATATACATGACGCTGCACAGTAATAAAAATTAGATTTGAAAATACTAAAATGAAATATGTTCATTTAACTCTGTTAGCACTGTAAAGAAAATGAAACGTAATTTCAGAAAAACTCATTATTATTGAGCAGTTAGGAAAATTTACGAAATGGGAAAATATAATATTCATATTTAAAACTAGCAATCTATATTTACGAACATAAAAACCTGAGTAACATTATATGATGCTTAGAAATAGTTAGCATTTGCTAGTGAAGAAATTAAAATATAAATCACATATCGGTTATTATATCGGATAATTTAAAGAAATTGCCAATTAATAATTCTAGAAAATTGACTTTTATTTAAGAAAAAATAAATAAAACAGAAAAGAGACAGAGAAGGAAATATGAATTGACTGTTATGCACATAATTTCAGCCAAGGATTTGCCCGAAATGGATTTGCACACGGTAAAAATTGCATAAATTAACGAAGAAGTTTTTTAGTAAA